GGCCATTTTTCAAAATGACTGACTACTCCCCAAAGTTTTATTAGACAATGTGCCATGCTTAAAGTATTCACATATCAAATATGAACAAAATTGCTCCACTACTTTTCGAGTAAAAAATGTAAAAATGACAGCCATTTTTATAAAATGGCTGCCTACTATCTGAAGTGTCATGAGACAGTGTGCAAGGCTCATGAGTATTCACATATCAAATATGACCAAATCGCTTCACTACTTTTCGAGTTATAGTAAAAAACATAAAAATGGTGACCATTTTTCAAAATGGCCACCTACTACCCAAAGTGTCATTAGACAGTGTGCCATGCTTATAGTATTCACATATGAAATATGAAACATACCAAATATAAACAAAATCGCTTCACTACTTTTCGAGTTATAGTAAAATACGTTAAAATGGCGGCCATTTTTCAATTTTTTTTTCAAAATGGCCGCATTCTACCAAAAGTGTCATAGGACGGTGTGCTATGCTTCAAGTATTCACATACCAAATATGAACAAAATCGCTCCACTACTTTTCGAGTTATAGTAATAAACGTTAATATGGCGGCCATTTTGAAAAATGGCCGCCTTCTACCAAAAGTGTCTTTAGGCAGTGTGCAATGCTTATAGTATTCACATACCAAATATGAACAAAATCGCTCCACTATTTTTCGAGTTATAGCAAAAATCGTAAAATAACGAATAAAGGCCGCCATTTTTCAAGATGGCTGCCATGTGCTTCTTTAATGTCTACATTTATAGCTTTACTAATGTCCTTCATAATTTTTTTACATTTAAAACATATTGCTATTACAGTTTTACATATTGCACCTAAATTACTGTAAAATCGGCACTAAAATGGCCGCCATTTTGAATTGAGTGGCCATTTTGAAAATCGGCTTTCGAGCAGAACTTCTACCCCCATAGGGTATATGTGTACAAAATATGAACAAAATCGGGCCAACGGTATTTGAGTTATCGCCCGGACGGAGGGACAGACGGACGTACGTACGTACGTACGTACGTACGTACGGACGGACGGACGGACGGACGGACGGACGGAAGCGTTCCCTATATCTCTCCGAACTTCGTTCGATGGGATAATAAATCTCTAACTACACAAATGTGTACAAAATGTCCCCACCTATGGGTGATCCCGTCAAATGGTTATCCTAAAAATGAGTAGACAAGACTTTACAAACACAATTTGAGGACGGAATATCCAAAATGGCCACCTTAAAATTTACCCAGAATGCCCAAAAATTAGTCAGTTCTAGATTTTCACCCCTGAAAATTTGAAATTGATCCCTCGCACAGTTAACCAGAAAACATGTAAACAAGGCTTTACAAACAAGATTTTAGGACGGAAAATCCAAAAAGGCTGCCTTGACATTTATCAAGAATGCCAAAAAACTAATCTCTTCTAGATTTTCATACTAAGAATCATCCCTGAAAATTTGAAATTGATTTACCAAACGGTTCACCTGGAAATGCGTAGACAAAACTTAACAGACAAGATTTTAGGACAGAAAATCCAAAATGGCTGCCTTGACATTTACCCAGAATGCCCAAAAACTAATCAGATCTAGATTTTGATACTAAGAATCATCCCTGGAAATTTGAAATTGATCTACCAAATGGTTCATCTAAAAACGCGTAGACAAGACTTTACAGGCAGGATTTTAAGACAGAAAATCCAAAATGGCTCCCTTGACATTTATCCATAATGCCAAAAAACTAATCAGATCTAGATTTTCATACTAAGAATCATCCCTGAAAATTTGAAATTGATCTACCAAACGGTTCACCTGGAAATGCGCAGACAAGACTTTACAGACAAGATTTTAGGACGGAAAATCCAAAATGGTTGCCTTAACATTTACCCAGTATGCCAAAAAACTAATCAGATCTAGACTTTCATACTAAGAATCATCCCTGAAAATTTGAAATTGATCTACCAAACAGTTCACCTGGAAATGCGTAGACAAGACTTTACAGACAAGATTTTAGGACGGAAAATCCGAAATAGCTGCCTTGACATTTACCCAGCATGCCCAAAAACTAATCAGATCTAGATTTTCATACTAAGAATCATCCCTGGAAATTTGAAATTGATCTACCAAACGGTTCACTTGAAAACGCGAAGACAAGACTTTACAGACAAGGTTTTAGGATGGAAAAATCCAAAATGGCCGACAATAAAAAAGTGATTATGAGTTTTTGCTGATTTCTTTTTACAAAATTATCACATATAACTACTGTTAACAATAACATAGGCTTTTACAACAAAGTACACCTGAAATTATTTATAAAGCTACAAAAAAGTTAAAGTATGAAAAGTGAAAAACACCATTCAATATGATACAAAGTATTATCGCGCGCTAACTTTTCTTAAAACATTCAAAATGGCTGACATGATTGAGCTAACAGGTCCAAAACCTAATCAGATCTAGAATGAAGTGAGCTGAACAAGATATTAAAGTTTCAAAAGCAACTGTGAAGCCATTTTTCTTAAAGTTTGCAGACAAGGATTTTAGCATTTGACTTCAAAATGGCTGACAGGAAGTAGGTATCGAGTCAAATTTTTTTCATCCACATCTACACAGCCAATATAATTCGGCACCGTTTCGGCATCGAAAAAATTCGGCGCTGTTCCGGCACCGTTTCGACACCGTTTCGGCACCGAAACCTTTCGACACCAGAATTTGCTACCGGACTAGTCAGTCCATTTGGTGCCGAAACGGCACCGAAATTTGGCACCGAAACAGTGTCGAAAATCAGATTACATATTGGGGGTGTAGATGCACTCATAAGTTATCCCTGAAAATTTGAAAGTGATATCTGTAGCGGTTTTGGAGAAAACTGCCGGATGTACGGACGGACAGACGGACATACGGACAGACAGACGTGCCTAGGCCGACAATATGGCCCCACACTATGTGGTGGGGACATAATAAAAGTAAAACTTAAGAGATAAAGTGTTCTGAATAGTGCATTTTATCACATTTATTCGTGATATCTTACTGCATTTTGTGTATTTTGGGTCTTTTTAAAAGAGTCCATGCAGATATGAATACTTGATCTAGAGCTCTGAAATTCTCAATACCAGAATTTGGTAGCACTATGTCTTGATATCCTGTGTCTGGAGTCTAACCAAATCACAGATGTTGAGAAAACAATTCATAAGTAGCAGTTTTAATTCCAAATTAGTTGAAACAGCACTCGGGACAGGTTTCCTCATTTTTGAACGCCGAAACATCGGCAAGCATTTACACTATGATCTTGAATCTGCGCATACATATTCTTAATGGCACTATCTCATTGCCAAGATATTGTGGGAACATTGTGACTTTTATTTTATGTGATACACAGCCAATATAATTCGGCGCCGTTTCGGCATCGAAAAAATTTGGCGCTGTTCCGGCACCGTTTCGGCACCGTTCCAGCACCGAAACCTTTCGACACCAAAATTTACCACTGGACTAGACAGTCCATTTGGTGCCGAAACGGCACCGAAATCTGGCACCGAGACGGCGTCAAAAATCAGATTGCATTTTGGGGGTGTAGTAAGCACTGAAAATGGACTTGTTGCATTGTGGCAGACCCCATACAAAACAAATATCTGGGTAGGGGGGGGGGGGGGGGGTTGGCTTTAAACGTTGATCAGTTCTGCTATTTTTTGTGGCTATTGGTCATATAGTAGTTCATTTTGTCAAAAGGTAAGGGTGATCCGAGAAAAAGTTTGTAAATTGAAACAGCCTATTAGATTTTATTATGAAACATTGTACTAAATTGATAACATATAGATAAAAAAGTAGAATCCTATATTCTAGTAATAAATGAATTACATTGTCAAGCAACAATTGAGGATGTTTTAAATACATTGATTCACTTTCTATCGAAACAAGTTTTTAACAGTATCCTGCAAATGATAACATCGACCACGCCCACTTTCCAGGGGTAGGGTACAATAAAGTCACATTAAAAATCATAAATAGTACATTTTCATTATTATAGTTCTATTACGATATCAAACAAAGCTTGAACTAGTATTTAGAAAACAATTTTGAGCTATTTAAGCTGCCATCTTTTGCTGGAAGCTACAAATATAAAATAAAATAGGTGCGACTTAAAAATGACTCTGCATATTTTTTTCCTATTAATTGCAATATTTCTGAGACTAATACAGATATCGGCCTATAACTTAAGGATATTATTCATCTCCGGATAAGTAATATTTGCAGTAGAAAGCAGAACAATAGCAAATATATCCTTTATGCTATGAAGTAATCTTATAGTACCCCCTGAAATCGTAGGAATTGAAGTCGAATTCGGCTGTGAAAATTGTTTTTACCACTTTAAAGCCTTATATTTTCTTATACCTACTAGGCTACTCTATAGATACATATTGTATTGCCAAAAGTTACTTCTTGCAACCTTCCGGCAAAAGTGTGCCAGCAACTGATACAATTATTTTTGTACCTAAATTACTGTAATCCATCTTTCTAGTCACTTCTTGTCATTGCCTAGAAAGGTGGATTAAAGAATCTATCTTTATAAAGAAGAACAATAATACTATGAAAAGGGATCATGGGAAGTATAAATTGGCGGGACTTTGGAATGAATTTTTGAAGAATTAATATGAAGTTATATTGGTTTTTATGTAGCGCTTCATTTCAGTTTTTATTACAGTTGATAAAGGATCCAGATGTGATCCGTAACGTTCTGTGTTTTCAAAATAAAGGTTGTGTGAAGAAAAATAATTTATTGATTTAATAATCATGTTTAAGAGAATTTATAGTTTTTTACTCAAGTACCCTTGAAAATGGTGAGGGTAATAAATTTTGCTGAAAATAGCCATTCACTTTGCTGTTAAATGTAAAATACATATGATTCTAAACACATGTTCTGATTGGATTGAATTTATACATCATGAGCAGTATGAAATGATGATGTGTATTTTAAGAGAGGCATGGAGCAAAATAAAAGTCATCTGAGAATACCTTGTTTGGGTTGTTGTGCATTAGTCATGTCAGATACAGCAATGTGGCTGGCTCCTAGAGCAACTATAAAAGGTTTACTTCCTAAGTTTGGGATCAGGTGAAGGTTCTTTAGCTCAATCTTGAAGTCCGTTGATGGTGAGACTACACAACTGCAAAGGCACCCATCTGACCCTGCAATGAGACATTAACATTTGAAGTAGTGATGAACAAAATCAGTTCTATGCATGGCATCAAGTAACTGGCCAAACAAGAAATAGCAACTCTATGGATCATACAAAACATAACTCATTAAATACCTCATCAATTTGGACATTGGATGATAGAAATAACTAGATTTGTGAAATTGAACAAGTTCAATTTAAGACTCCAGATTTATTTGACCTAGATAGATCAGTAAAGAGCTGAGTAAGTAACTGAGTAATTAGCTGAGTAAGTACCTTAGTAGTAGTTGAGTAAGTAGCTGAGTAAGTAACTGAGTAAAAAGCTGAGTAGGTAGCTGAGTAAGTAGCTGAGTAAGTACCTGAGTTAGTAGCTGAGTAAGTTGCTAAGGAAGTAATAACTAATTAAGTAATTGAGTAAGTAGTCAAATAAGTAGCTGAGTAGGTAGAGAGGTAAAGTAGGGTATGCAGGAATTTTTGAAAGTATATTTGATCAATCTGCATCGTGAATACTGGCAAGTGCGAATTTCAAACTTCAAAATGACGTAGAATCTAAACCGGGGGTCGGATTGCAATTTTAATTTCAGATCCAGATTCCTGAGGAAATTCTACCCCTAATTCATAACTCATACTTTAAAATTGGAGAACTTTTTATTTTGACCTACATTTCGGACACCATATCTCAAAAGTGGGTCAAAAACTTATTGACGGCAAAATGTTAACATTATTAGCACACTCTTTGCTACAAGTTTACAAAATTTCGGAGAATATCATTGAAGTGTAGTGTCAGAATCGCAAAATAAAAAAAACTATGAATTTGACCTAGATTTTGAAATAGGTATTTTGGTGTCCAAACTTTGAAGGAAAGTAGCTTTTGAGGTCCCCTTCTTCTATGGGCTTTCATTATGTTTAGCTGTACTCATTCTATATCTCGTATTTTTATACTTCAAAAAATTATTCGGTCCCATTGATTTAACATTGGGCACCAAATTTAGCGATTTTTGAGATTTCAAAACGCCATAACTTCAGAACAAGTAGTCGGATCGAAATTTGGTTTGCAGATCTAGATTTCTGAGAAAATTCTACCCTTAATTCATAACTCATACGTTAAATTTGGAAAACGTTTAACTTTGGCCTACTTTTCGGACACTATATCTCAAAAGTGGGTCAAAATACTTTCTGACGGCAAAACGCTAACACTATTAGCATACTCTTTGCTACCTGTATACAAAATTTTAAAGCAAATCATTTAAATATAGTGTCAGAATCGCAAAAATAAGGGAAAACTATAAATTTGACCTAGATTTTGACCTAGGCATTTTGGTGTCCAAATTTTGGAGCTAAGTAGCCTTCGAGGTCCCCTTCTTTAATAGGCTTTCATTATATTAAGCTGTACTCAGTCTATATCTCGTATTTTACACTTCAAAAAAATCTTTTTTCCCATTGACATAACATGGGGCAGCAAATTTAGCGATTTTTGAGCTTTCAAAACACCATAACTTCCGAACAGGAGGTCGAATCAAAATTTGATTTGCAGATTCGGATTCCTGATAAAATTCTACCCCTTATTCATAACTCATACGTTACATTTGAAGATTTTTTTATTTTGACCTACTTTTGGGACACCATATCTCAAAAGTGGGTCAAAATACTTTTTGACGGCAAAAGGCTAACACTATAAGCACACTCTTGGCTACATGTATACACAATTTCGAAGAATATAATTAAAGTGTAGTGTCAGAATCGCAAAAATAAGGAAAAGCTTTGAATTTGACCTAGATTTTGACCTAGGCATTTTGTTGTCCAAATTTTCAAGATAAGAAGGTTTTGAGGTCCCCTTCTTTTATGGGCTTCCATTATGTTTAGCTGTACTTAGTCTATATCTCGTATTTTACACTTCAAAAAAATATTTTTATCATTGACATAACATGGGGCACCAAATTTAGCGATTTTTGAGCTTTCAAAACGCCATAACTTCCGAACCGGAAGTCGGATCGAAATTTGGTTTGCAGATTTGGATTCCAGAGAAAATTCTATCCTTAATTCATAGCTCATACGTTAAATTTGGAAACTTTTTATTTTGACCTACTTTTCGGACACGCCATAACTTCCAAACCGGAAGTCGGATCGACATTTGGTTTGCAGATTCGGATTCCTGAGAAAATTCTATACTTAATTCATAACTCAAACGTCAAATTTTGAGAATTTTTTATTTTGACCTACTTTTCGGACACCATATCTCAAAAATGGGGCAAAATACTTTCTGACGGCAAAAGGCTAACACTATTAGCAGACTCTTAGCTACATGTATACAAAATTTCGAAGAATATAATTAATCTGTTGTGTCAGAATCGCAAGAATAAGGAAAAACTTTGAATTTGACCTAGATTTTGACCTAGGCATTTTGGTGTCCAAATTTTGAAGCTAGATGGCTTATGAGGTCCCCTTCTTTTAAAAGCTTTCATTATATTTAGCTGAACTCAGTCTATATTTCGTATTTTTCACTTCAAAAAAATCTTTTTTCCCATTGACTTAACATGGGCACCAAATTTAGCGATTTTTGAGCTTTCAAAACGCCATAACTTCCGAACGGGAAGTCGGATCAAAATTTGGTTTGCAGATTCGGATTCCTGAGGAAATTCTACCCTTATTTCATAGCTCATATGTTAAATTTGGAGAACTTTTTGGTTTTGACCTACTTTCAGGACGCCATATCTCAAAATCGCTAAGAGTAATCAAAAAACGGATGGCACACTCTCGATTTGTTTTTTTCTAAGCTACATGTAGAAACTAAGATGAAGTAGTTACGACAAACAACAACGAAGATAATTGACAGAATGTTGATTTGACCTTGATTTGACCTAGTTCTTGACCCTTGACCTAGATAAAAATTTGACCTAATTTCCCATCATCCCAGGAACTGCCCCTAGTTGATCATGTAAGCAGCTTAAAGTAAATTCTTTTAGTTAGTGAGGAATCTGGGAAGGAGGAAGATTCTGAAAGAATAATAATAACTAGATTTGTGAAATTGAACAAGTTCAATTTAAGACTCCAGATTTATTTGACCTAGATAGATCAGTAAAGAGCTGAGTAAGTAACTGAGTAATTAGCTGAGTAAGTACCTTAGTAGTAGTTGAGTAAGTAGCTGAGTAAGTAACTGAGTAAAAAGCTGAGTAGGTAGCTGAGTAAGTACCTGAGTTAGTAGCTGAGTAAGTTGCAAAGGAAGTAATAACTAATTAAGTAATTGAGTAAGTAGTCAAATAAGTAGCTGAGTAGGTAGAGAGGTAAAGTAGGGTATGCAGGAATTTTTGAAAGTATATTTGATCAATCTGCATTGTGAATACTGGCAAGTGCGAATTTCAAACTTCAAAATGGCGTAGAATCTAAACCGGGGGTCGGATTGCAATTTTAATTTCAGATCCAGATTCCTGGGGAAATTCTACCCCTAATTCATAACTCATACTTTAAAATTGGAGAACTTTTTATTTTGACCTACATTTCGGACACCATATCTCAAAAGTGGGTCAAAAATATAGAAGAATATCATTAAAGTGTAGTGTCAGAATCGCAAAATAAAAAAAACTATGAATTTGACCTAGATTTTGAACTAGGTATTTTGGTGTCCAAACTTTGAAGGAAAGTAGCTTTTGAGGTCCCCTTCTTCTATGGGCTTTCATTATGTTTAGCTGTACTCATTCTATATCTCGTATTTTTATACTTCAAAAAATTATTCGGTCCCATTGATTTAACATGGGGCACCAAATTTAGCGATTTTTGAGATTTCAAAACGCCATAACTTCAGAACAAGTAGTCGGATCGAAATTTAGTTTGCAGATCTAGATTTCTGAGAAAATTCTGCCCTTAATTCATAACTCATACGTTAAATTTGGAAAACTTTTAACTTTGGCCTACTTTTCGGACACCGTATCTCAAAAGTGGGTCAAAATACTTTCTGACGGCAAAACGCTAACACTATTAGCATACTCTTTGCTACCTGTATACAAAATTTTAAAGCAAATCATTTAAATATAGTGTCAGAATCGCAAAAATAAGGGAAAACTATAAATTTGACCTAGATTTTGACCTAGGCATTTTGGTGTCCAAATTTTGGAGCTAAGTAGCCTTCAAGGTCCCCTTCTTTAATAGGCTTTCATTATATTAAGCTGTACTCAGTCTATATCTCGTATTTTACACTTCAAAAAATCTTTTTTCCCATTGACATAACATGGGGCACCAAATTTAGCGATTTTTGAGCTATCAAAACGACATAAATTCCAAACCAAAAGTCGGATTGAAATTTGGTTTGCAGATTCGGATTCCTGATAAAATTCTACCCTTAATTCATAACTCATACGTTAAATTTGGAGAATTTTTTAGTTTGACCTACTTTTCGGACACCATATCTCAAAAGTGGGTCAAAATACTTTCTGACGGCAAAAGGCTAACACTATTAGCACACTCTTGGCTACATGTATACAAATTTTCGAAGAATATAAATAATCTATAGTGTCAGAATCGCAAAATTAAGGAAAAACTTTGAATTTGACCTAGATTTTGACCTAGGCATTTTGGTGTCCAAATTTTTATGAAAAGAAGGTTTTGTGGTCCCTTTCTTTTATGGGCTTCCATTATGTTTAGCTGTGCTTAGTCTATATCTCGTATTTTACACTTCAAAAAAATATTTTTTCCCATTGAATTAACATGGGGCACCAAATTTAGCGATTTTTGAATTTTCAAAACGCCATAACTTCTGAACCGGAAGTCAGATCGAAATTTGGTTTTCAGATTCGGAATCCTGAGATAATTTTCTATAAGACTGATATCCTGGACATTGGATTCGGTGAAATTTTTTTTGGACCTCGTTTTCGGACACTGATATCTCGAAATCGGTTTGAGATACCAAAAATCTAAATCGATCCTAGGTTTTCTACTTTTTTATGAGGAACACAATGAAAAAAACCAGGATCAAAAATATTGAAGGACGACCGAGATAATGGGAAAAAGTGACAAAGT